TGTCCTCCCAGCCCTTCTACCTCCCTGGACAGTCACACCTATGCCAGGAAGGGTGTACATAAAATCTTGGCATGGACAAGACAGGTTGTACTGACCAGCCACAGCACGTTTCACTTTTCCTTAGGAAATATCCATCAATTCACTTATGGAAGTGTTTTCCACCCCCATTAGTGAAGCAAAGCCGGTCTGCCCCCGTTCAGAATGGTGTTTTGTATGTGAGGACCAACTTTTGTGTGTGTCTGTACAATAAGCATGAGACAAGTCCCACATCTCTCTCAAATGAGCGTTACAAACCAGAAGCAGAAAACACCACATTCTCCCCCTTGTGGTGATGTTGGAATCTCTGCATCAGGAGAAATCCAAATGCTAGGACAGCCAACAACAATTCTCACAGCAATCCCACAAAAGTGGATTTGGACACTTGGGAATGAATTCATCTGGTAAGATCCAGTTCTGGTTTATTATATAACCCTACAGGATGAATAGGTATATACAGGATCTATGGGTATAGGATGGCAGAAGTCTGTACCTGGCCACAGCTGCCAAGTGCAGCCTAGAGATGAGCTTCCACAGGACTCCCCTCCAGACTTCAGAACATCTTCCATGGATGAAGCGTGCATTTGCACTTGGCTAAGAGATTTTCCTGGCTGCAACGTGTTGGCAGGGCGGAACAACAGTGGGGCTATGGTTAAAAACTTCTCAAGAGCTGCTTTCTGCCTTGTACCATGACTCCAAAGCAATTTTAAGTTTTCTGATACCCCCTTTCTGCTCTACCTTTTGTGCAATTTGCGGCTCTCTTTGGTCCCAGGTCCTCTCCATTTTCAGCCAGACAGTTAAAAGATGGAAGAGACAGAAAGACAGCTAAGTAAAGACAGATGAGTGCAGGACATTGCAACACATTGCCCCACAATGTCAGGTAAATGCACATCTGACAATGCACTGCTAGAAATATCTTTCAGGCTGCTTCTATGAGGAGCTAATGCATGTTTAACTCGTGCTTCAGAGATTCCCATGGCTTCCGAGAGGAAGTATTTCTGGCAGAGTGGGAAATGCATTTTTCATGGCAAAGCTGCAGTAATGTGATGCCAGTGGCACAGCTCTAGGAGTCTGAACATAAACAGGAGCATCCTGATGGGTCCCAAGTAATGTTATAATGTTGTAATGTTGGGCGGGTGCACAGAGAAGATAATTTGTAGCTGTTTGCATGCATTTAATGCTTTACAGTAATTACAAATGCAGTCAACTAGATGGGTCTCTGCTTGTGACCAATTCTTTAATTTGGTGTATATTGTTAAAATCAAATCACATGAGAGTCTTGGCTTTAAAGTAAGTTTAAAAAGAAGTTTTAGGATTTAATGATGAAAAATTTTAAGCTACTACTATCCGTGGATGGGAACCCCTCAGCTCAAATATGAGGAGTTAATCTCAGTGAAATTTAGATAAGTTTATCCACATTATCACTTCTAAGGGCACTTGTTTCACATTTCCATATGTTTTCTCACATCCACCAAAACCAATTTAGAATGATAGTCAAGATTTGTATGCAGTATCTTGCTTGAGGAAGCTAGAATGCTCTGAAAAGGCTTAAAAATTAGAAGAGTTGGCCAGACTCATGATTTTGTGGGACTGAATGGGAAAGATGTAGGATCAGAAAGAAACCCAGTTCCCTTCAAGGTTGTTATACCAAAGCAAGCCATTGTACACTGGGCTGCTGGAGAAGAAGGACTCTCTTTCTCAGCTAAAATGTCTCTTCTGTCAGCCTAGGGAAACCAGTGCTCCTGCAGCCTGTGCTGCCTCAGTTGCACAGAGCAATAGTGCCTATTCCAGCACTGTATTTTGCAGAGAATGTAATTCCCAAGGAATGTATTTCCTTATCACACCACTGTCTTTAAAAATAAAAGCTCCAAAGAATCATCATGGATTTTTTTTTTCACAATGTGATTTTCATTAGTAATTTATTCAGTCTGGCAGATGCCAGCATGCAAACTATGCAAAGAGCAAATCTCTTCCTCCAAGTGTAAATATTTATAGATCATATTAAATGGTATTTAGTACTATGCAAACATATTGTCAACAGTTCTAGCCAGATTCTTCCCTAATCGCAGCCTGGGAGTTGGCACAGGCATGTCCTCCATCAGAAGATGGTTATCAGGAAAAATAATAGCAGGCTAAATGGGTTTTTGGCTTAATTAAGGCTGGAGTTTATACCAGAGGTGAATCTGGCCCACACCAAGTCAAAACTGTTCTAGCAGCTTGTATGTACCACACACGGAGCTGGAAAGATGATGCTTCCCTGGGGGGACAGCTTTTCCAAGCAGGCTGGGAGCCTCTCTTGGCACTGGGCAAAATGGGCCATTACAACACAGGGCAGGGAGTTTCAACCTTTTATATGTTTTAATGTAGTTCCACATTTTCTTAGGCATAACAGGAGATGTATGACTATTCCTCAATTTGCATTAACTGGCTATGTTTATTTGAATAGTCCAGAAGAGCAAATAATTCCTATTCAAATCACCATCTGTTCTTAAAACAGAAAAGTGTTATTTCTTAAACACAGATCTGCCTTTTGGTCTCCAGCTCAGCCAGTGCAAAGTCCCTGAATGGGTTAATGTCTGGGACATGGCTGGACTATACTGAAGCCATTTGTGTTTAAACTAATATCCTAAAATCTCCTTTCCTGTCCAAACCCCTTTGATAGCATTTTGTTATATCCCATAATCTCTACTCTCCTGACAATCTGGAATGAATGCAAACCAACTGAAAGCTCATTTATATTCTATGAAAACCTGCTCTTGCAAGCATGTCTTAGCACCCTGGCTTTCCACATGAGGCATGTAAAGTTGCAAGGATCTCTAAACACTTCAAGATTGTTCTCCGGGTGTCTCAAAGGAAACAGCCCAGCTGACTTTGTCCATGCGTTGCAGGGAGACAGGCAAGTGAGGGCAGGTTCATGACATCCCATTCTCTCTGGCTGCACAATCACAGCTTTTTGTCAGTGCCTGTACTTTCCCATTGCGCATCTGGACTTCTCTATGGGCATTTTTTTTTTCTCCTGAGACTGTTTAGTCCCAGAAATGTGCTTGTTTTCCACTACACCAACCCTAAGGGCCACATTTACAACAGCAAAGCTGTTGCTTTGCTCAACAGCTTCACAATATTTCCTCCACCACTGTGCTTGGTCCTGCCAGATAATCTGTTCTACAGCAGACAGTCCCCCTCCCCCCTTCAACTGTCTCTTCTAATTCTCTTCCATTGCAGAGCTTCCTTCTCCCTTCCTCCTCCTCTGGAAAGGAGGGGAGGGAATATTTCAGTAAATGCTGGTATCCTACATGAATGATGGAATGATCTATCTATACAATGTATACAGACAGACAAGCTTTAAATGGACTACTTAATGCCAGCTTTGCATTTTGTCTATTTTTAATTAAGTGATGGACCAGAGTTTCAGCTCCTCCGCCTCCTCCTCCTCACTGCTCATTTTGAAAAGCAAATTTTTGTGTTCTAAAATTATATTGGGATGTGTGAATGATTCTGGCATCACTTTCATCTATGGCCAGATTAGCAGTACCAGACAAATCCATACATGACTTGAAGGAACAAGGATTCCTTCCTCACCTGTTTAATGGTACAGTTACTATGTGAAGCATCTCAGAGTCTGGACTGTGTCAGTGTGTGCACAAGGCTGGTTTCTGTGTGGTTCTTTTGATGGCTCTTTTTTCAGTTGGAAGAGATCTTAAAAGGATCATCCAGTTCCCACCCTCATGCCATGGACAGGGACACTTTCCACTAGACCAAGCTGCTCAGGGCTCCATCCAGCCTGGCCTTGAACACTGACGGGGATGGGGCATCCACAGCTTCTCTGGGAGAACTGATGCAGTGCCTCACCACCCCCACAGCAAAGAATTTCTTCCAGTGTCTAATGCCTCGCTGGGCAATCTGGAAATAACCCAAAGGAGCTGAATTCAGCTTGCCCAGGAATGGGCACCTATGATATCCTGAAGTCCTGCCCCTGATGCCATCTCGTGGAGCCAGCTCCACACTTCAGAGTGCGGATCGGATATTTATTTCACAAAAGTGTCTGTATATACATGAGCAATACGTGGCCTATAAAAGATTCAAAGCTCTCTTGCTGGTATGTTGTTGTTGCTCTGTTGTTGTTGCTCTGTTGGGTTTGCCCCAAGCAGCTGGGGGCTGCTGATCTGCAAACTTTTGCCATAAAAACTAACAACAAAACTAAAACCAACACTAAAACCAACAAAACGATCGTCTTTGATTTACTGTTTATTTCAGCAGCAATCTCTGTTTAAGCAATGCTGAGGGTAGTGGACTGGCGTGTCCAGTAAAACAAAGCCTTGCACCGTGTAGGGGTTACATGAGAACAGACACGTCTGGATTGTGGTGGAATGTGTGTTTCTCATAGTCCGGGATAGCAAGACGCTTTTAGCCAGTACACTTATCTTTTTTTTTTTTTCCTGCTGGGTGGTGAAAATGAACCATAGAATGGTTTGGGTTGGAAGGGGCTTTAAAGCTCATCCCGTTCCAGCCCCGCTGCCACGGGCAGGGACACCTCCCACTAGACCAGACTGCTCAGAGCCGGGTCCAGCCCGGCATCGGGAGCGCGCAAAACGGGTCGGCATCAATGGGACCTCTGCCAGGGCCCCTCCCGCTGCTGCGCCACCACCGGCGGCCGGCGACGCCGGAGTGCAGGGTGCGGAAAACAGCCTGGTGTGCGCACAGCTCCTCGCCGCTGTGCGCTGACAGAGCGGCACAGACGCCCATCCAGCGTTAAGCCGCGGGCGGCTCACACGCAGCACCGCCGGTCCCGTCACTTCCGCGGGCAGCGCCCGCCCCCTGCCCCGGGCCTTTCCCGGGCCCTTCCCGGGGCCTTTCCGGGGCCACAGTCGGGGGGCGGGGCCCGCACGGGAGGGGCGTGGCCCCCGGGAGCCGGGCCAATGGGGCGCCGGCGGGGCGGGGCCCGGCCGTGGCATGTGGCGGGGCCGCGGGGCTCCGGCGCTCCTTCCGTTTTCTTCCCGGGGCTCTTCCCTGCCTTCCCTGCCCGCGGGGCCGCGCCAGCGCCGGCCCAGCGCCTCTCCCGCCCCGCGGCCGCCTCCTCCAACGGACCCCGACGTGTCGTGAGTTACGGGCGGGCGGTGACCGCGCCCGGGCCTGGGGGAGCGCGGGCGGGAGGGACGCGGTGCCGGCGAGCGGCCGTGCCGGGGGTCCGCGGGGGGCGCGGAGCCCGGGCGGGTGCGGCGGGCGAGAAGCCGCGGGCCGCGAGGGGGAGCGGCGGCTCGGCAGCCGTTCCGTGAACTGCCGCACAAGTTGCGAGTGCATCTGCAGCGCGAGTTGCGAATGAATTTTGCCGTGAGTTGCAGCCCTGCCCCCGCAGCAGCGAGCGCTGCGGTCGGTGAGCGCTCCTAGCTGGTTTTGTTCGTGGGGAGGCGAGAGCGGGGAGAACTGGGTCTCATTGCGGGGAAGAGGTGATTGACTCAGCAAGTAACTCACCCCCGAGTATGACATTTTTAGGCCCTATGGGCCACCTCAGAGATCCGGTGTCTCCGGATCCACCCTGAGGCACGGCATCGCTGATATGTAAATATATCGCGTGTCCGAACAAATAATGTTGAGCTTGTGCAAGTGAGATTAGGCTGGTAAGTGGCATCCTATGGTATTGCACTGAAATATTTTTCAGTTTATCCCAGCTGAAGTGAAGGTTTTCAGCAGATTTAACTGTACCCTGCGCAATGTTAGCAAGGTGTCAGCTGGAGTCCAGGAGATGGCAGGGAGAATAAACACCGTTCTTTGACCAAGCTCTCAAATATGGCATTCCATGGGAATATCCTCTTGCAGTGACTCTTCTGCTGGTGGATACAACAAATCCTTTAACTTTCCCCTCTGTCTCCCAAACTTTGTTTTCTAGGATTGGCAAAGAAAACTCCTGTCACAGGATCGTGTCAAGTAATGTGCCTTGGTGTCCTACATGTTAATTGACTGAATCCCTGCCAGACTTGGTCATGCAACACCACTGCTCTTTTCTGATAAAGTGAGTTATCTGACTGCTTGCTGGAACGACAAACCCAAGAAATCCTCCCCACCTTAAGACAGATTGCCATGTAGTTTTGATGAGCAATGTAAACTTGCTGATAGCGAGCATTTGGTGCCCTTTAGTCCTCAGAGGGTTTATGACTGAACAGTAGCTTTGAAAACTAGGCTACAGGGTGCAGGTTGATGCAATGTTTCCGTCTTAAAAGTGCGTGCATTTTTGTATTAATCTAATCTATCTACCATAATCAACCACTACTCTGTATGTTAATGCAGTCCATTAAGTGGCAATGGATAGTTTAGGAGAAAACCAATTATTATTAGCTTTCATGTCTGTAGTAGATTTGTGCATGTGTTGGGCGTGTTTGCTGCTTGATTCTGGCTTTTATGTATATATAATGCATGCATACACACATGTATTGTTTTAGTACTTTTTTGGAAGAAATTCCAGTCTACGTGTCTCTTAACATGTTGGTGAGGACATCTTTATTTTTTGTTTTTAATTGCAAATTCCCTACTGGATTTATAAACCCATCTGCCAGGAAACAGACTTTGCATCTGGTTTGCTATTATTGAAATTCTTATTGGCACATCCACACAACCTGAAGCCCCTGCCTTCTAAGGGAAGTCTCCTGGCACAGCTTTTTGAAGGGAGTAATTTGCAAGCAAAATTTCAGGCTTTGGTGATGAAAAACTTCAATGCTGAAGACCTGGTGATGTATTTAAAATGCCTGGATGCATACCTTAGATTACAGGAGACATACTAGCAGACTTTCCACTTGTATGTTGCTGGCTAAATTTTCAAGTGAGAATGTTGCAGGGACATTAAGGAATAGAGGTGTTTGTGCATGGGAAGGCTGGAGGAAAAAGCAGTCAATTCACCAGGACTTGCAGGTAGTTCCTCAGCTGCTGTGCATTGCGGAGCAATAAAAACCCTCACCAGCTGGCCATTTGTCCTTGTTTCAGTTGGGATGGGATGCTTTTCTGAAGGAGCTGTCTGTACCTCCTTTGGGTACACAGCTGGTGCAAAGTTCATTTGTGAGGTACACGAGATACCCTTCCCACCCCTGTCCCAGACAGTAATTGTAGGGTGAAGCTCCATGGGTTGTGCTGAACCAGCAGCCAGACCAGTTGATCTTTGACTTTTTTTTCCTCCTGCCCTTAGAGGGACTGGGAGGGCAGTATCCCTGCTGTGTGTGCTGTTGCTGGATGCCATCTGACACTGTGTGCTCTGGCTCAGCAAGGTTGTTTCCCTTCCCATCTTCCAGCCTGTTCTGCAGGTGTAATCCTTTGTCATACGCCAGATGTCAATGACACCAGCCTGTCTGGCTGTGGGAAGGGCTCCCAGAGGGCTGTTGACTTGGCTGGTAGGGGAGCCAAGCAGTCCTGTGAAATAAACTGCTCTTGAGCCCTCTCTTGCTTGATGGTAGCAAGCATTTGATGTGTTCATTCCTCCAGTCATTTCTTGTTTCCTTCCTACAGCTTAGACTGGGGGGGAGTTAGTGAAGGAGTTGTGAATTGGCAGCTGGAGTCTAAGGATGCTTCTGGCACTGCAGGGACAGTCACAATGCTGAAAATTAGTGCAGGCAGCACCTGGTTGTGCATTTTGGGTTCACAGCTCTTCCAGCTTTTGACTGCTGGCCATCCAAGAGAGTCCCCTTGTGGGTGAGGTGCTCAGGGTGCTTGTGGGGCAGCAGTTCATTCAGGAAAGGACAGCTTATCTCTGCCATGGTATGGAGACTCCCTCCTTGAAGGAATGTCTGCACAGACATTTCTGCATGGTCCTGTTGTCCTGCATGGTCCAACTTATCCAATGAAAGTAAGCAGCAGGAACTGCAGAAGTGGGCTCTAATGCTCACTGGAACCACGTGATTGTCTTGCTGGTATGTAAAGCTGCTTGCTGTTTTGCTGTCTGGCTTGTGCATTGCTTTGTTTCTGTGGGTGAAAACCTTGCATTTAGCTGAGGGCTCTGCTTTGCTGTTCTTGTGATTTCACTGGAATGACGTTTCCTCAGGGCAGTTTTGAATGTCCATCAGCATAGGTGCCAAAATGTCCGAGAGTCTTCCATTTCCTTTGCTGGCTTTATTTTTCTTTGCTGTTCTGGGCACAGCCTCCTCAAGGCATAGATCTTGGGTTTTAGTGCTGAGAGGTAGGTGTGCTGCTGCACTGGCACCAAGGTAGTGCTGTGTGGTGCTATCAGACTGGGTGGGACTGAAACCCTGTCTCCAGTGGTGGCATTGCATTGGTGGGAAGGCTGCTCTTTAAACACCCTTTGTAGAATGTGAGATCTGGAATGACGGTGTGTGGGTCTGGATTCTTCATCACATCCTTTCCTCTTGTTGCATGTAACTTATCAGCCATTTAGAAAGCATGCTGGGTACTTGTTTGGTTGGTTGCTTTCTTGCAGGACAATGTGCTGTGAAGAAAGGAACAGAAGGTAGAGAGCCAGGGATATGGGTACTTGTTTATTTGCAGCCAGCTGGATTGTCCCCCAGGATGGCAGGAACCACAGTCCATTTGTACATCTTGCACCTGCTTGAGGAACCAGCTGGTGCCCCATTTGAGCAGGCAGTTTGGCCTGTGCTGGCCTGTGGGTTGCAGGGGTGTGCCTGGATTGTCTGTGTGCATCACCACAGCTCCTGGCACCTTTGCCTGGGGAGACTCAGCTGGGCTATGTCCCCTAAAGGACAACTAAACTGTGCTCTGCAGAGGTGGCCATGAGATGTCCAAGCCCCCACAGCTACCTCTGTTATTCCCTAGGTACACAGAGAGGGAAGGAGAGGTGGTCTGTGTACAAGAGCCTTTTTATTAACTTAGTGAGACATTGAGTGAGTCCCCTTGACTGCTTCTGCTAACAATGACTGTCCAGGAGGGCACTGGGACTGCCTTCCGTGGCTCCACCTGACTCTGACTTGGTGCCAAGCCCAGAGAACTACTTATGCAATAGTCCAGCAAAACATGTCAGTATGTATTCCTCATGTGTCCTAGTTTCAGACTTAAAAAAAAAAAGAGGTGAAGAAGAGTGGCTGATAAAATTTGTGTTGAATTTTACATGTATGTTTGTGTTGGATTTGTATTTGTTTGGCTTGAGGAGACTTTGCAGCACTTTAACTAAATCTGTTTTTAAATCCACTTAAGTTAAACTCCTGCTACAACTAGTGTGTGGAGAGCAGCATGAAATCTCATTAATTTTAATAGGATTAAGCATGTTCTTTTGCTGAATCTTCTGCTCTTTTTTTTTTTTTTTTGGCTTTTCTATATAGAAAGCAGGATAAACTTTTCCACTCTTCCACGTCTTTGTGAAAATGCTTTGACAGGCTCACAGAAATGACTCTCTGGTTGCATACAATAACATTTTACACATTTTTTTCCTCTGCTTTCAGCTGTAGTCCTACTGTATCCAGGCTTTTATTGGCTTTTGCTTTCCCTAAAGGCGCAATAATTCCTGACAGCAAGAAAACAGTTACAAGTGTTTGCATGGTAAGTTTCTGCACTCAAAATCATTATTTTTGCTTTTGGTCTCTCTGGATAGGTTTGAAACTGCTGTAAAACAAGCCAATTAGTAGAGAGAAACTCTGTAGAAGTCAGCAGGAACTGAGTGTGTGTAGGTGGGTGAGGGCAAAATTAATTTCTGTTCACCAACCAGCAATAAACTGAAGTACAGCAAATAAAGGTAGAAGTGGTTTGCATGCAAACTGGTTGAAGTGTAGTATTTGGGGTCTAAGATTAAACAACTATTAACTGGAGAGGAAGCTGCTTCTTGCATTTGTGTTACCTCTTTACTTCCACATTTCTCAGTGTACGTCATGCCCTGAATATCAATATTGATACAGGAATTTGGTTTGTTTGTAATTTATATTACAGGAACACTCCTCTTCCCTCTCTCTATCTGAAAAGACAAATCCCACAGCAGGTATTTCTGGATGTCCCTGAGATTCTCCTAATGACACACTTACTACATGTGTGCTTTCCTAGGAAAAGCTGACTGTCTTGTGGCTGTGCACTAAGCTGGATTTCAAGAGACTTGATTTACATTTTCACTTCCAGCTCTGATCAGTTCCTCCTATAGCTATACACAAATGACTCAGTCTTTTCACACCCCTTTTCCCACCCTGTGAGATAAGGGAGGGTTGATCTACCTTTCCTCTGCTCTGCTCTTTTGAACTGATGCCCTGTTGTGCTGTGGACTAATCCATATTGCAAAGGTTGGGCTGGTGTTTTTGTGTCAGCAAAACTCCTCTATGACATCAGTCCTTTTGATGAAACTTTACATCATCAGTGTGTTGTCTTGCTGGCAGTAGCATCTAGATTGAAGTTCCTGTATCTAATTAAAAAAGGAGAACGTCGTGGAGAAAAAAAAAACATTCTGGGTTTTTTTTTCCCATAAGATAAACAGAGATTGGCTTATTAAGGGGGTTAAAGATGGGGAATTCTGACAGGTGAGAAATGCCTAGTGATACCTTGAAATTCTCTATGGGCAAGCAAAGGGCATTTATTCCCATCATAAAAGGGTTAGGCTTGGAAGGAACCTTAAATGTCATCTAGTTCCAACCCCCCCTGTCATGGGCAGAGATGATCAAGTTGCTCAGGGCTCCTTCCAACCTGGCCTTGAACACTTTCAGGGAAGGGATTTCTACAGCTTCTCTGGGCAACCTGTGCCAGTGCCTTACCACCCTCACCGTGAAGAGCTTATGCCTAGCATCTAATCTAAATCTCTCCTTGTCCTGTCACAGTCTTCTCCTGTAAAATGTCCATCTCCCTCTTTCTTATACACCCCCTTGAAGTACTAAAGACCACAGTGAGGTCTCCCCAGAATCTTTTCTTCTCCAGCCTCAACAACCCCAACTCTCTCAGCCTGTCTGTAGGAGAGGTGCTGGCCCCATCCCTCCAGGTGAGGTCTCACCAGAGCACAGCAGAGAGGCAGAATTCCTTCCCTTGACCTACTGGCCACATTCCTCTTGATGCAGCCCAGGCTTTCTAGGCTGTAAGCATGCATTGCTGAGACATAAATGATATCTTCATCAATGATGATGATCTTTTAAGGGATTGCCAGCAGTTTATATTTGCAGTGTGGTAGTGGCAGGAGCCATGTGTTGTGGCTGTAATGGCCATCTCTGAGGTGGCTGGAAATGCATCACTGACAGTGCCTGGGATACCCCTGACTCCAGTGGGCACATTCTGGGTGGTGAAGCCAGCAAAGGAATGCAGTGTCATGGGCCTGCTGGTGGCTGCACAACTCAGTTCTGGGCAGGTCCCAGGTTCCACGGGTTCTGCTGGACTTATTCTCACATATAAAGTTAAACATAGGCTTTGTGTGTTTGAAGAATTATTGCCTAAGACAGATAGGCTAATGTGGAAACAGCTGATAACGTTCTGCAGGGAGACTTGCATGAGTTTGAGAAGCACGTGGCCTGGTCTGGGCTCTAATGCACATGGCTTTTGTTACCAGCTGACTTGGTAAGCAAAAGCAGACACTTGTGTTTGTTTGCTGTTCAGCAAATAGCTTTTGACTGAATCCCATGTATTCATAGATTACTGTTTGTTGCTTTTCTGTCCATTGTGAAGGCAGCAAGGATTTCTAGGCTTTGAAAATCTTGTAGTGTATAGAAGCTGGATGTATATTGATGCAATGAAATCCAAAATATGTGATTTAACAACCATAACAGAAGTGGGTTTCCAGTGCTGATAATCAATCCTCTTAAGGAATATCAGAATGAAAGAGTTTAAAAATAAAATATAAACAGAAAATGCTGGTGAGTTGGAGGATTTTGGTTCTTTTTTTTTTTCCTGTAGATTTTGGCAATATTAGTAAGCTGTTCTTTCTGGGTGGTATGTTCTGCACTTGGTCTTTGACCCCTCTGAAAGTGGAAACAGATGTAATGCAAACTGTGGAGTAGGCAACCTGTCCCCTGGGAGCTGACTGAAAACAAACCCCTCTACTGAATGAGCTTTTAAGTTATTGCATGTCTTGGGACAAATTTGTTTGCTGTAAATCAGTAAGATAATACCTGCAGAGGTCCCGTCTGGAGTTAACATACATGCTCCAGAATTGTGATGAACAGCTGACTCAGGCATTCACATTTACAGTTACTTCTTAGCAAGATGCAGTGAATGCCATCCAGTGAACACTGGGCTGTAACACAGGATTTCATACAGAGATTCATCTGCATAAATGATGTCTGGGTGGAGAGAATTTGTAAATAAAATACATGGACAAATTTATTTCAGTATTTTTATCTAATCTCCAGGAATGTTACTGCTGGTGGGAAGTGCTCTAAAAAGCAAAGACTGAAATGGTGGGCATGCAGTTTAAATGGTTAGAGATTGTTTGATTTTGTAGCTATTAATATACATCTGCATAGGTAGAGAGTTTTTTATGTTGGCCTATAGGTGCTAGAGGGTTTGCTAAGAAAGATCCTATTCAGATGGTTGTGAGAAAAAAAGTCATATAAACCCAAAACTAACCCCAAAATCCTCAACCCATGATCCTCACTGCAGTGCAGTTTTTTTGCTCCGCTGTCAGCTTGGGCAGATTTACCTCATGATATAAGTCCAGGCAATTGAAGTGAAAGTGCCCTTCTCCATTACATCCCGAGAAGATGCTGGTTCTAAACTGCCCAAAACAGAGAAGGAACCTGAAGAGAAGACTTCTGGTCCTCTGACCCATTGCTGTCTGGAGTTTTCACTGTTCTCTTCTGGAAACTTTCAGATTTCTGGATGATTTTAAGCAGCAAACATATTCTCAGCAGTTGACGGTTGCGGTGCCAAACGTGCATTTTGTCACTGAGATTCCTGACATTCTGTAGGGTTGACTCTGCTGCTATAGGGCAGTTCTTGGTTTACTGCAAACTGGAGCTTTTGAGGAAAGCAGCATTGGTGCCACTTCACCTTGTGTTCTGAGGCAGTTTAGTGGTGGGATTTAACCCCTCTGCTTCACTACAATTGAACAGGAGCAAGAGCAGCTGAGAGGCAGGGGCAGGTTTATGGGTTTGAGGTCCCTACAACCAGCTGATGGGACTCTTCAGCCTTCAAGTTGGATTTGTTAGTCTGGTCTCTAGTTCTGAGGGTCCTAAGCTTTGTTTAACAAAGGATGAAGCTGAAGAAGTGTTGCACCTCAGTGCTGGCTGCCTGGGTTCTCACTTTTCTGCATTTATGGCCATTTCTCATTCCAGTCTTGCAGAGTCTCTAGCAGCAAACAATTTGAAACAAAAGGTGCTGTTTGATAGGTAGAAGTGCATCTTAATTCAAGTGCGAATTCTTTAATTCTTGGCACGTCTTTTGTTTTGTATCTAATTTCATTCAGTCACAGTCTGTTCCACCTGTTGATTCCTGACCTACGGTGGTGTTCTGCTGATCTGATGATATTGGACAGGTTTGTACTGGAGTACAGTGGAGCTGAAATCTTCAGAACACCAGTCAGAAGCAAGCAGTGAGAGTTACTCCTTGTAGTGTGGTTTTCACATCCTTGTCCTTTCCCTTATTTTTGTTGTCAGAGCTTGGATAAGCTCTCCTGGGGAAACTCTTGCCTAGATAATTAATGTATGGTGAGCTCATCTTTGAACCAGGGTCTATCTTGTTGGTTGTTTGGCTTTTCTGGTTTGCTGTTCCCCTCATTACAGGATTGGGGCATCTTTGGCATAAAATCAGTAGCCAGAAATTTCTAATAGGTTCAGTCTTCCTGCTGCTTCTAGGTCACAGATTCTGGAGGAGTAAGAATAATCTCTTAATTTTGTTACAAGTTCAGGTGTTAAAATTTGAGAGAGAGGTTTCAGCTTTGGGCTTTTTTCTGTGTTTGGTGCTGTATTCCCGAGCAAAAGTTGAAGACTGATATTAGCACAGAGGCATCTGAAATGGCTTCTGAAAATATCTATTTGTGACGCCATCTGTCCAGTCAAATACAGAACACTGATCACATTTGTGTCTGGTACAAGTTAAATTGGTGTTTGTGGTAGTTGTCATCTCTCTTGGTGAGCTGCTCTGCTGACTTTCTGTAGAGGCCCATGACATTCAGGTGTACCCCCTGGAACAGCTTTGTAGTTCTTGTTAGCCACATCCGCGACAGACAGACAGACCTTTCCTATGGAGCTCAGAAAGGTTTGGAGGAACCTGCTGCTCCCTGTGCAGTTCCTCTTCCATGAGTGAGGGGCTCTGGGGTACTGGAAGAGCTTTGAGAAGCTCAAACCAAGCTTCTTTTACTTTGATTGATTAATCAGATTTTGAGTATCAGGACTCAAAACTATAATAAAGAGTTACTCTGAAATGGAAAAGAGGGAACCTAGAACAGGGAGGAGAGCAGAGCTGCTGCCCTGCTGGTTTGTAGGAGATGAGACAGAGCTGGGCTGAGGCACTGCTGCAGATGCTGCCTTGGCAGCTCATGAGGGTCAGGAGAGGGAAGGATGTTTTTCCTCTAGGTTCTGATAACAGATAGGTTTAAATTCAGATTGGTGCAGGACCTGACGACTTGCTGGCTAAGAAGAACC